ACATCATGGTTACACATGTTGATACAAACAAATTGTAAAAAAGTGTCCCCCGGGCTAGATAGGGACATGGCAAAAGAGCATAACTACACAATTTTTAGTACTTTCCCAAGGCAAAAGGGCATAACTGCAAAGATAGGCTGTGATACGCTAAAGCGTGACGTTCTTTCAACAGCCAACCAATCAGAAGAGAGCTTTCTCCCTGGTTACAATGAAGGTTGCTTGCTAATTATTATTTTTATTATTCTTATTGTTTGTGTAATCACAGTTTGTAAATAGAAATTGGTTAAATAGTATGATTCTTGATAGCAGCAAATGTCTAGTTAATGTTAGGCGAACATGATAAGTCTAGTTAATTTATGCTATATAATCTTGCTTTACTTTATGGCATAAAGTTTAATACTATCGAAATAAATCTATGGGAAAATAGTAACTGTTTAATAACAATAAATAAACCACGGCAGAATAACAATTCACATTTTAACTAGAAATAACTATCCGGGCAAAGAGGCACAACTACAACGTTTAATCAGCAAATAACCATGGCGAAATGGCACTACTACTTCGTTTATTTATAGGAAATAACATGGTAAAAAGGTACTGAACAGTTTACTAGAATCAACTTACATTTCCATCTAAATCTAAATATATAATACAATTTCTAAATATTTTATTTGACTATAAAAAAAACAATAATATTTGTAATCATTTTATTATTACAGTACTTGAATTTGGATCATAGGGAAGAATTGCTAATAAAAAAATAATAATAGGCCTAATTTATATTGTAATTACATGACCTAGTAAAATATATATTCATTATTTTACTTTGTAAATAAAATTAAAAACCAATTTATATAAAATAATTGTAATGCATGTTTTTACGTACACATAGAAACAGTCATGCGCATTCTAACTAAACAACAGTTCTACTTCACATACGCATACCTTTTTTTTGCCTTTTTGTATTATTCTATTACTAGCTGTGTACCCGTCCTTTGGACGGCGGTAATCAAAGCAAACTAAACGCAAAAGACTGATTACAAAAAAGTATATCGTGAAAACAGTATTTCATATCGTGGCGCTATCGAATGAAATAGATTAGGCACTGATGTACAGTCTTCTATCAATTTAAGTATTTTCAAGAACCACATATGTATTAATAATTGAAAGCAAAGTATAATAGTATGAACATTGTACAAATCACTAATTTTATTTATTTTTTTGCTTTGTTTTATATACATTTTACAATTCTTTTTCGTAATTTAAAGTTTACTTTTGTGGAGTGGATTTTCTTCATTTCGATAATTTATTTTTGCCATTTGTTAGGTATAGATTACTTTTATTTTACTAAATTGTTGACTTTCTATCTACATTATTTAATTTGTGTGTTTAACTTTTGCTTTTCTGATTATGTACCGTACTGTGTAATCTATGTTAACTGTAAGTAAGGTACGGTATCTCACGACCACAATAAAAAACAGCATTATATTTGTTGATTTGTGCTTCGTGAATAAATAAAGTTTTACTAGGCCTACTACATATTGGTGCTCTAGTTGTTATCGTTGGTGGTATGGCGGACTGAAATAAAAACTGAACGTCTGTGTTCGTAGCTGCCGTCGTCGCCATCATCATCATTCTCGTTAGCTGAATCAATGTCATTAAAGAATTGAGAGTCATAATCATAATTCTTATAAGCAGAATCAATGGAAGCATTCAAACAATTAACAGAAATATTTGTACATTACAGATCAAGCCTGTGTTTATTCAATAATCATTGTTTTATTATTTGGGTGGGCATAAAAGTATTTTTAATGCATTTGTTTCTTAAACATTTCAACATACAGCAGGGGCTGATCAAGAATTTTTCAATGTGAAAATTCAGTGAAAATTTGGTTGAAATCGGCTCAGTAACAAAGGAGAACATCCCGGACACAAAAACCCCAATTTGCCTTTTATAGATTATAGCCTTCATATTGATGCACCACTCCTATGTGTTCCATCGATGTAAAGGTGTAATTTCCAAAATAAATAATTATAAATAATGTTAGATGCAGTTCAGTAGATATTAGATGTTATACCAAATATCTTATAATTTGGGTGGGTATAAAAGTATTTTTAATGTATTTGTTTCTTAAACATTTCTACATACAGCAGGGGCTGATCAAGAATTTTTCAAACGTGAAAATTCAGTGAAAATTTGGTTGAAATCGGCTCAGCAACAAAGGAGAACATCTCGGACACACAAACCCCAATTTGCCTTTTATAGATTATAGCCTTCATATAGATGCACCACTCCTATGTGTTCCATCGATGTAAAGGTGTAATTTCCAAAATAAATAATTATAAATAATGTTAGATGCAGTTCAGTAGATATTAGATGTTATACGTATAGTGAATTGGTGGCGCTATACAACTTGGTTTACGATGGTCATGATGCTATTACACGTGGTGTTTTGACACAATTTTACCGTGAGTGGTACAATCGTGTCATTACGCGTAGTAAGTGTTATGGCGGTTCAACTGTGACATAATTACTACACGTACTACGTACTACGTGTACTACATGTAGTACGCGTAGTACGTGTAGTATTATGACACAGTTGAACCGCCATATAAAAATGTTCACAGTATGTAATTCAATTCAAATATAGGGCCTAACACTTTTTCATTATTCGTGCAGCGAAATCAAATAATAGGCCTACATACATTATATTAGCATGGCAATGTGTTTTTTTCAACATCAGACAGCGAGCAGCAATCCTGTATCTCAGAAGTTTTGTAGACGTTTATCTTTGGTTGATGACCTTTTGACCTCCAAAATTGAGATTTTCGAGTCGAGTCACAGTCGAGACAACCCGAGTGGAGTTTCATGCAAATGTCTCGTACGCAAAAAAAAAAATCGCGAACCGACGACGCATTAAACTTGGCTACGCAACGCAACACCGACGCTACTCAACGTTTGCGTTGTTTGCGGATCGTCTTTGCGTTGTTTGCGAAAAGTTGAATCGATTTGTGAAGTGAAGTTCTATAACTCATCTTCATATTATGCTCACCACCCCGAAAATTTGTTATCGATGTTAATAATTACGAACTATAATTTATGTTCATTTGCTAAGTAATTAGCATTGAAACTATGAGAATGTGTGTAATAGAGATACAGCATAATTATGTTATTGTCGCAGTCATTAATAGAGTTCACAGATGATTGTTCAGTTGGTGCATACTTTATTCCATTAAATGTCTAACACACACAATATAGTAAGCAAAATAGACATTCCAAAGTGTAAGGCGAGTATTAAATTACAGCCATCTTGGAATTAAAAATGATCACCATGTAATCATAATGGGTATTGTATCAATATGCTTGTAAACTCTAAAAATATACACCAATTTACTGTAATCGAGCCCTAAAATCATATATGCATTGACACACTCATTTGAATGCGGCTCTCTTAGAATTCAAACTGGCCACCATGCAATAGGAGTTATATCTATATTATAGGTTTTCTTAACGCCAATTACAATGAATTTGTCTCCCAAATCAAAAATCATAAGTGAGGTTGTATCCAAAATGTTTGTTGTAACCATTAATTACACCACATTTACTGCAATAAAGGCTATAAAACAATAAGCCTTGAAACCATGATTTTGTCGGCCATTTTTGGAATTCAAAAGAGTCATTCAGTAAGGTACTTGTAATTGCATATATTTGGTAAATAAACCCGATAACATTCACCGTAATTAAGGCTGTACAAGTTCAGATATGTGTTGTAATGCAATTTAATGGCAGCCATCTTGGAATTCAAAGTGGCCGCCATGCAATCAAAATGTAAGTTATACCAATATGTGTGTTGACCCCAATACCATATACTTTGCACCCAAAATCAGAACACTAGGTGCCTTTTCAGCTGAGATATACCTAAAGAGTGAAAATTTGGGGTCCACCATTTTGAAATCCAAAATGGCTGCTTTCGCCTGACCAAATTTTAGGCAACCCTTTCATTCTATGTTTTTGATACCCCAATGAATAACTCTGCTAAGTTTCAGAATGTTATCACAATTTGAAGGATTAGTTCGCTTAACAGGCCTACTAAAGGTGTAGACACCTCATTTATGTTTTGTGTAGACACTATTTCTGTGCTTCTGGCAAGTGGTTAAGGAGTTAATAGGGAGATTTTCAATTGCGGTAGGGCGTAGAACGTAATGACGTCACTGAAAGTCATCTGCGCATGCGAGAATGTTAAAATCACCTCGTCGCGAGTAGATTCTGGAACGCAATTTGGACAACTACATAGTAGAGTCATTTTCATGAGATCCGTGACTAATTTTAGGATACCCTTTTTTCTCGATAGATTTGGCAAGATGGACCAATTTAGATAAAATATAGCTCCTATATACCTCCTTGCTATTGGGGAAAGTCGCGTTTGGGGGCGTTTTTCAAAATGGCCGCCTGTTGATTTGGACGCTTGTATCTCGATAACCACTGGTCGGAGAGACTTGATTTTGGTCTCAAATTGTTCACAATATGCATACAACTTTTTATCAAAAAATGGTGGGAAATGCGGTTTTTGAAAGTTTGACTTTTGACCTTGTAATGTCATATCTCGGTAACTACTGGTCAGAGAGACTCACAATTGATTGCAAGTTGTTCAGGAGATTCATGTTTATATTCGTCCTAATGAAAAAAATATTCCAATAGTGACCGGAAACGATACATTCTGACCTTTGACCTATTGTAGGGTCATTCCATGTCAAATCAACCAGATTAAAAAAGACCGTCTCAGATTTTGATGAAACTTATGGCGTAACGCAAACACCCTATCTCAGATCCATGGCAACGACTAGGACGCCCTCTCCTAAAATTGATTACTTTTCTCTGTGCCAAATCGACGCTTCTATTTGTTACGCGTAAATCGCGGAGAACGCTATTTTGTGTTTATAAGATCTTTGATGCTGATGAAGCCATTACCGAGTCGCATTCTGAAATCACTATTTGTGCGTGATCGGCGTTCCATACATTCGCGCATGCGAACTAGGTGATTCGCCAGCAGCAAGTCGGCTCCAGCCATAGAGCTCCAGCACCGCGAGTCGCCATCAACAGAAATATCCAGCTAGCGAGATACCTAAGACTAAACACGGCATGAGAGTAGGTAGGGTTTTTTAATACATTAGTTTTATCTTTATTTGGTTGCCTATGCAAATCATAAAGGAAGTAAACTACATTAACTACTGCTTTAGAAGAACATTTTTTTTTTACCACAAACGTATAATTACAGGATATGTAGGCCTAGGCCTACACGCCAACAACAAGACAAAAGTAAAGTACTGTAATAATTTCGATAGCTTGCCCTGGCTGTCCTGTGGTTTTGGGATGGCACCCGTTTCGGCCGCGAACTATCCAACAAAGGCCCAGGCCTAAGGCCTAGCGTACCAAAACCGTAATCCGAAGTTTAAGATATTAAAAAATCCTCACTTTTCATATTTCTGGTCACTGATATATGGACTGCCAAACAGCCTAGACACACTGTGTCAGTAGTAGAGGGTAGGCCTAGCCTATCATCTAGGCAGGTAGGTAGGCCTAGCCTAGGCCTAAGCAGAAATGGGCCTAGGCTAGAGTAGGCCTCCTAGCTAAGCTAGGCTAGCAGACGTAGAGCCAAATCAATCAGGCATAGGCCTTTATAATAATATAGCTCTGAGTACTGTTCCAATAAGCTTTTAACATTCGCTGTGGCTATTTTTACGACGAGTCATGGAAGTAGTCCCCAAGGTATCCGATCATTTCAGTAGCGCTATTTTCGTTATGCATTTCGGTCGCGGTGTATGACTGCAAATCTGGAACAAGGGAGCTAAACAGTATAGTATTTTTATAAACACAAAACTTGCATAAAACTTTAGTTGACTAACAATTATTTGTATAATTACTGTATTATATAGTTTATGATAATTAATATTACCGTACGTGTATCACTTGGTGTTATTTTTTATTTTTTACAGTAACGAAAATGTTACAAAGTCGACTTGGTTTGAGAAAAGTTTCTCTTTAACGTCTGTTGCGATATATATTTTTTTAATGCATAAATTTAATGATTTATGAAATAAGTATAGTCAACAGATTAGTTCATACGTTTGTTTTCTTGTCTGTTACATTTCTATTTATTTTGAATGTTCTGATCATGTTTATAATTTGATAAATGTACATACTGAATGAAAATGAAGGAAATATATATTATTTTCATATTTATTTTCCACATAAAATTTTCAATATATTTATAATTAAACACCATACATTTTAATGGCCCATTTCAGGTTTCTTTTATATTCATAAGCCCGACAAAATGACTCTTTCTAGTCCTAATCTATAGTTGCGCTAGAATTTAATACAAACTAGATTCCCCATGGTACTCTTGAGGTGAAGCAGCACAAGGTTTATATTTTTTTATTTTTTTTATTTCCATTTATTATACATATTCTGATGTTTATAAAATACATAGTAAAATTCAGTTTTAATATATAATTTTAAATACATGTTAATAGCCATTCCACGGTTTCGGTCTTCGGGGCGGGCTTCCTTCTACTGTAAAACTAGAAAAATTCACTACTTTGAGGCCTCCTGTACTAGTTGCCTGGTAACTAACCATAAAATCGGAAAGAAACTTTAACCAAGGTTCCCACGGTGCTCATGAGGGTGAGAAGGCATATTCTTTGTACGCCGCCTTCAGGAATGTGAACACATTACACTGTAAAGAAAGAAATAGGTCAGATGCTAAATATAGATGACTAGCTATTTTTAGCAGGTCATGGCACTGGCAGTGAAGGTGTTCAAGTGCATTCTACTTCATGTCACCATTAACTTCAAGTCATCAATCTGATGATCATATTTATAAAAAAAAATTACATGAATTGTAAAATACTACAGTTTAAATGGAATGTACAGATACATATATTTTGATATAAAAGTATATTTGATTATTTGAAATCATAATCGTAACAACATTCCTACAGTAGGCCTCTATTATGAATAATTCAGAAATTGGTAATTACAAATATGTACTTGACTTTTCACTTCTGAATCTGTAAGAAGAAAAAAAGAACACGCTAAAATTATATTCAAATTACTGTACTTGTAATTATAAAAATCATAAACTTAAAACAACCATACTAAAAAAAATACAAAGAATATTAAAAAAGCTTTTAAAATACAGAACCCTTTAAAAATTACTTTCCAAACATAAAGCACTAGTGCGTACATCGGCGTTCCATACTGAGGCTGTTTATCGCGACCGAAATGCATAACAGTACGGCGGGACTGAAATGAAGGCACGACTGAAATGATCTGTATTCGTCCCCAATGCTATCCTTACAAGGATGGGTGGGGCATGCGCGATAAACGTCCTTGTTGGGGGAAACTTGAAGCAAGGACAGTTGAACTGAAAGCATCGCGACTGTCTCTAGGCCTAGAGAAAGGCCTCACAGTTCAGCTTGGTAGGAGTGGACTAGCGTACATCAATTTAAATTTTGTAAATGGAAAACAAAACATAATTAATGTGTAGCCTACTAGGGCATCTCCAACATTGGAAATTAAACATGGAAAATTAATGAATCGGTAGCCTGTCACGAAAATTCGGGTACCATTGAGAAATTTGGTTCCAGACCTAAATTCTCGTTTAAGCGAAAATTTTGGGTTTGTCGATAAATTAAGTTCAACTCTTATTTTATGGCCCCTATTTGAAATTAACGACCAATCGTTACCAATGAGGTGAACTTGTATTTGGAACAAAAACCGTGAGAATAAACAGAAAAACAAACAGATTTTGAATGTTTTTTAGTCTTGTTAATGCTTCATCGCGTCCGCAAAGACTACAACGCTGACCTAATAGAGGAATTTAGCGATGGGCGTCACGTGACCTAACTTGGGTGTTGGATATAAATAATCCACTGACACAGCAGTGTTTTACATGGAGATTTCTATTGTGGCCGTCCCTTGTGTATTGCTGTAAAGCTCCCCTGTAAACTATACCAAATTGATTGGAAACTTTTGGCTTAATGTTTTGCTAATGCTGTAAAGGTTGCTGGCGGCAAACATTGAGATTTTTCGACAAATGTTAGGCCTATGCCTCTGCACATCTACGGCATGGTTTAATTTAAGGTAAACATGATGGGCTTCGACCCACGAGCTATGCTGCGATGTTCGGGCCAGCGAAGGTTTATGAAGGATCACTAAAATTTTGAAGTATACAATCCAAGGAGAACGCTAGGATAAGTAAATAAACACTATTTTGAACAATCGTATCGCCTTTACTAGCCATTTACCTCTCACACTAACAGTGGGTGGTTTTCGCAACCATAACATTGAGCATATTCAACTGGTTCATTTCTTTGACTACGAATTTTCATTCAACTGGTTCGTTAAATAAACTTTGTTGACAACAAAAATTAATGTAACCAGAGTGCCTTAATCTGTGTTAAGTTATAAAACAGACCAAAACAAACATGGCCGATTGGTCAGTTTAGAAACAACATTTGCGTTAATATAATTTTAGATTAAATTTCAGAAAATAAAAATTATAATATTTACCCACATGAAGTCAAAAAATAACTGTAGCCTAAGAGAATTCAAAAACTGGATGAAAACATTTTTTTTACGAAAAATCCTTACTGCATCAAGCCGAAACAATCTTGATTATGCAGCTTGTATCGCAGTAACTATGCAGCCATTTTGTTTTGTCGAGTATTTACAAGTTTTCTTTTCGATTGGTCGTCTTCGTTAAGTAGGATTTTACCACTGCAGAGGTGGGTGTGGTTTAATGAAGAATGACCAGTCGAATACAACCAATATCTCTTCCTATGCTATTGCACTGTAATGTTTTTCCTGTATACCCAAGTTCGGTCCATGACCGCCTGTAAACAGTCATTGCTAAATCCCTCTATTCTCATCACTGCTGCAAAAGCAGCACAAAAATTGTCCTTGTTATTTAAATTCAAATTCAAATTTATTGTCCAAAAAGGAAATTACATTGAGAGAAAGTCATTGCTCAAAAATTACACAATTACAGCCTGTTCGCAGCCAGGCTTTGCATTGTGACATTGAGTGACTTCCATTTTCAGCCAATGAGAGTTATGCCCAGAGTGGGGAAACAAGATAAAAAAAAGATGGGGTATACTACAGTACTGTATTCTGATTGACTTTGATAATGAATAATGCCAATAAACATCAGGCATCAAATTTGTTGGTAGGACGCTATACCCCTCTCTGCATATCAAATTTTAAAAACATTATGTTTAGGCCAATTCTTACTGAATATTCCATTGTATTTTATTGCTTTTTAGATGTCTGTGTTTTGTTCTTTACTCCGTAGACTGAGCAATTTGAAATTTTTTTTATGGGACCCACTTGGAAATAAGTACAGTAGTTGTTACATTTTTTTTTATGGCTTATCCTATTAATCAGTGTCGTTTGTTGCACTTTGCCTTTCTTATGTCTTGTTTAAATGTTTGCTTTAATTACATGATAAATGAATAAATTCAATTCAAACTATTCAAAATTGATTGGAAATTGAACTTGAGAATATTGCCAAAATTGTTTGCCAATGTTCCAAAAGATAATGGTACCTATGTTGAGATTTTTCTAAAAATTTAGGTCTCTAGGTTCATCATAACATGTTAATTTTTAATGTAAAAGTGTTGTATATATTGCTCTGCTTGTGCCTCTAAATTAGCTCACATGGACAGAATTCACTCAAAATTGTTGTATTTTATTTTTATTTATTTTATCCAATTTCCGTTTAGATCTATTATACAAAACCATTACAATGAGAATACAATACTTTGAGGGTATATAAAATATATCAAAAACGAAATGCTGAAATTCTATCATAAAATGCTGTTAGGAATGTCAGATACAATAAAATATAATGAAATTGTCAACGAAATAACATTCATGCATTAAAACTGCTGCTGAATACAGTATATCAACAAATAGCCAAGTTAAATTTATTTAAAACTGTATTGTATACTGTAGGTTGTTCTATATACATGGAGCTAGTAATAGGTAAAGTGGGTTCTGATACATATGAGTTGTAAAATGACAGAATTGGAATATCGACGATTCAAAATCAATAAAATCTTGTAGGCCTACATTAAAATCAATTTAGCACTTGAATCTATATAAAAGTATATTTCATTCTCTGATTTATAGTTTTTGAAACGTTTGAAAATAATACATAAATGCAATGTCACCAACAATGCTCTATGCAATTCAATTTCAGGATATTGTATCCGCTTTCAACACAATGCTATGTTACCCTCATCGCCTCCCTATCAACTAAAGTCAAATGCAGTCAGTCTCGTATGCATTTATATAGGGTCATGTATGCAAATTAGGCTTCGTATTTGGCTTAAGAAATGACCTTCATTTTTATTGGTCAGACCTAAGCAAACACTCACTGTACTATTGGCTAGTGGTATTTCTAACAACAGACTTTCAATATAAAACTCTTGCATTGATATAATGCTTTTGCTAGACTAGTAAGTACTTTATAATAAAGAATCGTGAGGAAACAATTCCACATTGACACCTCCAAAGCCAATATCTCAACAGCGCTATGCTATATATTTTATTTTTATTTTTTTAAATTTAATTTCCAGGTACAGTAGACCTATTAATAAAACAAAACCATTACAATGACAATACAATACTTTGAGCGTATATGAAATACTGTAATGAAACATGAAATGCTAAAATTTTCTCATAAATTACAGTCAGAAACAAATACACAAATAGGTACCTGAAAGGTACATATGGCTACTGTTTTGTTTTGTTTTGTTTTGTTTTTTCTGTTTGTATGTTATGTTTTAATGTATTCCATTTGTTACTGTAGTGTTTTAAGTTCAACTGAATAAGGAGATGCTATTGTAGGTCTGCTTCAGGGTGGTGAAAAAAACTTTTTCGTTTGTTTTTAAAATAAATCAATTTTAATTATCAAAAATATTAACATTAACAACAGTGAATATGAGGAACGTCATGTATAGTTTTCAACTAAATAATAAATGTCAACTAAAAAAAAAAAATAAAAAAATATAAAAATAAAAATATACAAATACAATTTTTTAACACTTCTTTTTATTTAGGAATAAACAAATGTCTTTGATCTGTAAAAGCTTAAATACGCGCAGCGGCGCTTATAACATATTTGGAGGCTTCAGTGCAGTGCCTATTCAAGAGCGGCGCTCATAAAAAGAAATACTGGTGTGGCGCTTTTCATGTCCGTTCCCATGTTACATATCTCACATTTTTGTAGTACAGTAGGCCTATCATAGGTCCAATGTCATAGTATATAAACACTTTAATACAAAAAAAGAAATACTTGTGTATTCATTGTGTTATTTATTCATCTTAACACTGTATACATTGTGTTTAAAACCCAAATTGTTTAATTACACACAAGGTAATAATATACTCTTTAGAGCCACGGAATGGCGCTTTTTCGAGCATTTAGGGTAATTAAAAATTATATAATCTGAATCCATTCCGATACCATTGAAAACAGGCTAGGTAGGAAAGGAGGAGGACGCGACACTGCGACTGTTGCAGGTCGATGTCTAGGCTAGGCCTACTTCTCAGTTCAACCCTTCCAGGCGTTGTCTAGCATGCTGCGTACGTGGACCTGGTGTAGGCCTAAGCATGATGGAGGTTTTGTGGTGTCATAAAATATGTAAGGCCCCATAAAAAAAAAATATTTATCACCCACTTCCTCATCACTTTTGGGAAAATTCTGATTTTTTTTAAAAATATTTCTCAAACGATCATTTTTTCTACTTTTTTCACTTGAAAAGCTGAGGATTTCTTGCAAATATGTTTTACTGGTTGGTACAACAAAAACATATTTTTTTATATTAAAATTTGATTCCAATGCTAAGACTTTTTATATATTTTTCCTTAACTATTAATTTACCAGCAAAAAAGGGGGTGGGCTTAGGGGGGGAAAAAACACCTCCCTTATCAGTTTTTGTTCTTTGTTATGATAAACTAATACATTTTAATGGGGCTTAATGTATTGTTTTAAATATAACACAACTACACTCTCACACAAAACCACCTTATGACAACTTAAAGAAAGAAGTGAAGATTTGAAATAATTAAGGTCCATAATTTAAATTATTTAAACAAATTATCAAAATAATGAATTATATAAATGTTGACATGTTTAAATCTAAATCTCAAATAATTTCAATTTGTATAAAAATACTTATGAAATAATTGTTATTGTATCAAATTGCAAGCAATTGTACTCACAGAAAATTAATCATATATCATATATTATTATCATAATATGTATCCCAGGATGTGGAGTTACAATTTCATGATTTTTGTTTTGTTCCAGTAACTACAGATACCAGCCATTCATATTATAACAATTTTGTTAAGTTTAATTCAAAAATGATTTTTGACATTAATGCAACACCTAAATTTATTATACTTAATAGTAATACAACACCTAAATAGATTTTTATGTTTTCATGTATTGTACTGTATGCATGAAATATTATTTAAAAAAAAATAAAATGAAAAAAAAAATACATTCCTTTGTATAAGTATTATTATTATTATTAAATTATTATCATTATTATTATTACTGTCATTATTATTACTGACATTATTATTATTATTATCATTAATATTATTATAAGATGACGTGTATTTTTATTTATATGTTTTATGCCTGGCCGAGTCTAGGCCTTAAGCCTGCGGTAGGCTTCGCTTTTTGTCGAATTCACACAAAAATAGATCATGTTGTTTGCATTTCTCACAGTTTTCCTAATACTTTTAAAGTCAATACACACATTTACTTATTATATTGTAATTATCATTATAAGTCAATCATGACATCATCACTGTAAACTACCATGGAGTTATTTTCCTATCCCCAACTGTGCACTAATTTTTCATTAATTTTTGTCATATTAAACATAACAGTGAGAAAACAGAAGTAAGTGACAACAAAATTCGCCACATGTACCCTACGTCACTTTATAAAATGAATCTAAATAAGAAAAATAATTGGGTTTTAGTATGATTCCACTTTCAATATTTAAACAGTACAGAAGGGGAACTACAATTTTCTGAAGTGTTTCTCCCAAAAACATAAACAGAGTCTACCGAACTTACACAAATAAGCAAAATCATAATTTACTTGTGTTTCTGTTAACTTTGAACAATTTCATTTTTTGAAAGATGATAATCTTAAATGATTTGGATCCTTTTTTTGACGTAACATCAAAATTACTACTTAGAGTAATAAAAGAAGAATCCATATCATTAGTTTTGTATTGCTGTAAACCACATAAAACCGCATTAAACTAGATCTTCCAGAAGTTGACTTCTCACAACTTGCTGCTACTCTCCAGGCGCAAGCAAAGATACTAGAAATACAAGATAGAGCACTCGCATAGTAAAAATGAGGCAGAAATTGGGCCCAATGTAGGCGGCGCCCTTCTTTTTTATAACGCAAGTTTTCTATACTTTTGTTGCTAAGTATCCAGACACACACAGCGCCCTTCTTTTTCCACTATGGAAGAAAACTAGAGTGCGTCCGGCCATACGATTCTGCGCTATATTGTTCTTTTATCCTTTTGATCCATGATTAGGCTTAATTGTTTTGTGTTTTATTTCGATAATAGCAATGATTTTTACCTCTGCCAAGGAGGTTATGTATTCAATGATGTCACTCTCTGGGTGTCTATTCCAGTTTGTTAAAATGTTAATATATATTTATAATATATAGCTAATTTTTTGTTTAATGTCCGTGCAATATTTTACCTTTCTCTATTCATCCGAAACGACATAAATAAAGACCTTGTTTGTATATATGTGTCGCAATTTATTGCACAGCAACATCCTCCAATGCCGTACGTCACTATAGCGCATCGCGGTGTACAATTTTTTTATTGAGAATTGACAAAATATGCGACGACTTGGTAACAAAAGTTTATTAGAAGTTTTTTAGATGCATGGGGCGCCCCATTATTTGTATTCCCACCATGTATTTCGGTGGAACACTTTTTTCTGTGGAGAACTCTATCTTGTATTTGTAGTATCTTTGCTATAAAACAATAGGTGAGCCAGAGATATGCACTGTGGCAACCAAACCAAAGAAAGGCAAAAGGAAAATATGAAGACTGAAAGGTCCACTGAAAAATGTCCACCGACATTAATTATGTCATCATCAGGAATGATCATTCCTGATGATGACATAATTAATGTTGAAATATTGAATCCCGACATGATGGCGTGCATTTCGATACTTGGAGTATGTATTATACTATCTTAGATAGTATGATACATACTTGGAGTATGTATTATACTATCTAAGATTGAAAAGGAGATGAATATGAACTAATATGATGGCAAAATAAAGTAAAATCTCAACAGACAAAAATAGTGGAAACTGCTTAACAAGGCTATTGTCCAAATTGGATGAACATAGCCTCATAATAATAATGATGATGATGACAGGCTGAGTGGTCCAAAAACCTACTATCATTTTTTTATTGCAAAACAAGTTGTGAAACTAAACTTAAAATGAGATACGCACATTATTATAATCTTTGATAAAAACTTTTATGAGCAATTGTACAAATTATATATTTCTTGGATCGCAATATGTTAACATTGGATGAACATACATGTAGCCTCATAATGATGATGATGACAGTACAGTGCTGTTGTACTGCAAAAACCTAGTAAATAATTTTTTGATTGGAAAACAAGTTGTGAGACTAAACTTAAAATGAGATACGCACATTTATTATAATCTTAAGTAAAACTTTTATGAGTATAATTGTACAAATTATATATTTCTTGGATCGCATTATGTTAACTCAGTCTGTATTTGTTTATTTACAGCTTTGTAATGTATTCTGGCCTTCTTATTGAATATTCCTAGTTAAAGCAATGTGGTCAAATCAACAGTGGCAGACACAGTGGGGCTCCCAGGCCCAACAGCATTATCAAGCTAGCCAAGGTATGGGATCACCAGCTTTTTTTTTTTGCTTTTTTTTTTGTATTGAGAATTTCATAAGCTGGGCCCTGAAGGATAATGTTTTTTTGCACTGATCAGGTCACCCAGGGTAAAGAAGAAATAAAATAAAATTTAAAACATGTATAATTTTATATAAATATAATTTTATTATTTCTTGAAAAACAATCTCCAAAATATTCACACACATCTCACAATACATACTATTCTGTCCGCTTTCATGCTTGAAATATAAATTTGAAGCCCTATTGTAAATTTTATACTTGTGGTAATCATTCATTTAAATTGAATTGAAAGAACGATGATTCGCACTAAACCCTGAACTTGCGTGTATAACAAAGGCCAAAGCTCTCATCTACAGAGTCAGTAGGCTTGCCACTAGTGGAAATAATAAATGCAGACTGACCAACCCTGATATTTAAATGTTGCTGTGTGGATGCAACAAAACAATTTTTAGCATGTGGGGGCCTAATTTACATTAGATATTAACAAAATTGTTAATATGTAATATTAATCTGTACAAACATATATATTTTTTAGAATAATTTTACCTGTTTGAATGTACAGTATGTTACCCTGTATGTACAGAATTTACTATGAATAAAAAATGATTCAAACAAATACTGTAAAAATTCATGAAAGTCCTATTCTCTTGGTCCAAATATAGTCTTGAAAATTGCTTAATGATCCCTCAACATTTGTGCACTATTGGAAATGTATTGTATTAGTCGAGCGGATAAGATGTATTTAGTGGTGGTTATGACATCGCTCATAATAAAAATCTCCCGAAATACAAGTCTTGCAATTTTTTGTGGATGCATTGCTGTTGTTTAATAGTGATTTGGTACAAAGTATATTGATCTAATATAATTAAAACAATAACTTTTCCTTCAATTCTTTTTGTTTAGTGATATAAATTTATATAATTGTGTGCTTTGATTTTATACTGTAGAAACTGACTGGGCAGCTCTTGCCCAACAATGGATTCAGCAGAAAGAAGCAATTGATCAAGCAGTTGTAATTGCAGCCAACCATAACACTCCAAGATCCCAACCAGGCAAGTTAATTTTCATATTGTGACAAACTGTTATTGTCGCATTATAGTTTTCATTATAATGTTGGTTTTCCATTATTCATCATGTAAAGCACAGGTTTGCAAAGTTTGGCTCGCGGGCCACATGCGGCTCGACATTGATTTTTTTTTGTGGCCTGCCAAAATTAATTAAAAACCCTATATGTGCGGCCCGCCAAACATCTTTGGCTAGAAAACATATATTTTACGGCCCGACACCAACCATCTAAAAAGTAGTATTTAAACTGAGAATAAAATGGTGAAAAAGCAGTGCATGAAGGTTTTTGGAAGCACACTGAAAACATAAAAGTTTTTGGTGCGGCCCTCTGTGTGAATGCAAAAATTGCCTCTGGCCCTCCGATATTTTAGGCCCACCCATCCTGTATAGTAAGCTTCCTGAGCTTTTCATCTTGGAATGGGCCCCCAGCTCTTGGATATTGTTGCTATTAAGGTCCCACAAAACAACAGTGTAAAAACATACGCACATGCATTGTGGGTCAACACGTGTGCTTATGAGATGAACGCATACTCCCAAGTGGGGATAAGCCACTCCAGGTAGAACTGGTTGATGACAGTGCCATATCTACAGGCAGTGGCGGCTCCAGGATATATTTTCCGGGGAGCTAAGTTGTCCAATAGGGGGACTTGAGCTCGTAGGCTCGAGCTGGGAGAAGGTGTTGAGAGGGGGTTCCCCCTCCCAAATGAGATTTTTTTAAAGAATATCAACCTATAGATAGCCGAAAATGGCACTCTCAGACTGTGACAGGCATGTGTTGGCTTGGTGTGGGCCTATTTTTATATGTTTTATGGTCTGAATGTCCGACGAGCTCTGTCCAATGGGGGAGCTTGACCTGTCTGGTGGGGGAGCTTAAGCCCCCACCTGCCACCCCGCTGGCACCGCCACTGTCTACAGGGTTTCACTGGGAATACATTCCCCTTTTTCCACAAAGAAATAACTTTTTTAATTACTTTAGTTTGCCAGCTAGTGCTCCTCACTTAATCATTTAGACATCGTATTAGACTTTGCCTTTATGTCCGTATTAGGCCACCCTCTCTCCATTTCAATATCCCTAGACATGCCACTGGTTGAGGATGAGCTTTCTTAGCACATAAATTGTAATATACCCTACCCAGCTGGCCTTTGCTGAAAAGATTTCTCTAACAACTTGCCAGAGACTATAAACACCTGTTGCAGATGTCATTTGGATAGATTAAACCAACATTTATAAATATTTTCAGGTGGTGATGGAAGGATGGAACCTTTTGGATGGTTAGGCTGGCAGCCTCCTCCTCCAGCTATTGAAACGTACGACTATGATCATGGGAGCAACAATTACAAATCAGCAGATCAGCATGGCGGCAGTCCTCAATGTTTCGACTACAACCATCAGTCAGCAGGGCAGGAGCAGAGACCACCACATGGACCACCACTGCTGCCAGAACCAGTACCACCCGGCATTCATGATCCTACTGTACCACCTCCAATGATGCCACCAACACCATTGCAACATGAGCTACCGCCACCAATCCCTCGAGAGCAAATGCGCTTCAGACAGGTAAGATTCGGTCATCAGGAAACTTTTTTTCATGGTATGATCTACGATGTAATAATAAGTCACATTCAAAGTCATTGTCAACCAAATTCTAGGACAAGTTTTTGGTAAGTAGTGCAGAGAACACAGGACAGTCACAAACGAGTAATTCCTCTTGCGATCAATTTGTTGCAATTAAAGACTCCCTAATAATTAATGTGGTCAGGTCTCCCATAATTAGACCTTACAGCTAATTTCAAGCCTGCAACTAATCATGCTGGTAAGTGTAAAGATCAGAAGCCCATTCTTTCATTTCATTTCATTTAATTTTTCCAAAAAAACTTTAAAAAACATATAAAGGACAAAAAAGGACAAGAAAATACCCTTGTCGGTGGGAGGATAAACAAAAAGCAAACCTATTGCTGTTGACAGATTTTTCCTCCTATATAACAGTAACATTTAAAAAAAATATAAAAATTCATAGCCACAATTACATGTGGACATGTTATCAAAATGTGTTGTACTCCCTATGCTGTCATTGTCATACTTATCACAATTGTTATCATCATTGGTATTATCGTCATCATTATTATTGATTATTATCCATTTTTCAGCATGAGTCTTCACATGCTGACTGGATACCTGACCAAGAATCCCTTCCACCACCTCTTCCTCCTCACCTTCAACAGCCTCCTCCTCATCATCATCAGATACCACCCCATCATCAGCTGCCTCCTCCCTTGCCACCTCCTGATCTTCACCAATTTCCTCCTGTTCATCCTCAACATCACCATCAGCCAAGTGCATCTAGAATGAGGGATGATGCCCCATTCCATGGGCAACCTCCTGGATTTTACCCCAGCGAACAAGATAGTCGATCAATTCCAGAAGAAGAGGAAGCAGTCATAGGTGAGAATATTTCTTTGTTGTGGTTTGGTTAATGCTTCCTTTCAAATCCCAGTCTCAGCATCCATGCCAGTAAATGCTGAGATATTTTTCATTTTGAAAATTTCTCTTCATCTCCCACTTGCTAATAGAAAGGTAAAGTCCTCAATTTATATGATACAAAATATAACTTGCGCGTATTCCTACAAATACCTTCTAAACCTAGTACATTAACAAAAATGATAATTTAATTTAGTTGACACCTCTGAAACTAAGTATTTTGCTACTACTGTATGAAACTATACTAAACTATGCTATTAGCTGTCTATCTTTACTACAACATTTTAAAATTGTTCTAAAACTACAAGTTTTTGTTATTTTTTATGACATTTATGCATTATGACTGGTTGCTAGAGCACATTTTGTTACATTATTATCCATTTAGTGGGCTGTTAATTGCCATGCATTTATCTTTGTAACATGAAATGTAACACTTGAATGTTACAAAATGTATACACCATATAATAACTGAATATTAAATTTATTTATTCATAATGAGAATTTCTTAAGGTATAGTGTAGCTGCTTTATATTTACATAACCATTCTTACAAACCAGATGCGAACAAACGGAAGAGTCTACCAGCCTGGATCCGAGAGGGACTTGAAAAAATGGAGAAGGAGAAGCAAAAGAAGTTAGAGAAAGAAGAGCAAGCCAGACTGAGAAAACAGAAAATGGATGAAGAAAAACAGGTTGAGCAAGATACAGAGAATCAGGCTCGTATAGCGGCTGGCTTGCCACCCAAATCAAAATATGATGATGATGATGATGGTAGTAATGTAAGTGGCCACAGTTTATTAGACAGGATTAGAACATCAATACAAAGTACAAAGATTCCAACGGAATTTTCATTAAGTAAAAGTTGGTAGGCTTGGAGAACCTTTCATTTCATGCAAAAAAAAAAAGAAAAAAAAAAAAAAAAAAAAAAAAAGAAAAGTTGGAAGCCATGTATTAGTTAGGTTTTTGTCCCCAAAAAACAATGTTGTCCAAGCCTGACCACCAAAATCTTAGAAATCTAGCCTTGGGGTTTTTGTGTGTGTGTGTGTGTGTTTATTAAATAGTATATACTCCTATACTTGTATAATGTTTGAAAAAAAGGCCACTTTTTAAGTTTTAATTATACGTATGATTCCTTAATCATGCATATTAGCCATGTAGTTACTATTTTACCAACCAAAATGTTTATATACATAACTCTTCCTTTATCTGACGCTTGGTGTCTTGGAAGTCGGCATATTCAGCATCTGTTGAAGAAGGCTGTATATAGCTTCCTTGCATTGGGTCCTTAACTTAGGCTGCTGAATGTTGATTTGTAATCTGATATTTTTAGCCACAGGTCACAGTAGTATGGTGTAGCAAACATCATAGTTTGTCCATGATGTGTTAGGGTCACTGCAAACATGTAAAACATATCTGATGTGCTGTGCATGTGGAGTGAGAGGTGGTTAGCAATGAATTAGAATTATTCCTAGGCTTAAAGTAGACAGTAAAAGACTGATCCTAATTGCTTAAGCAACACTATGATATTTTGGCTTAATGTACATAAGGTCAAATAATAATGTACACAAAAAGTAAACTCACTTTTTATAACAGAATTTAGTAGGTTAGGACAACCTTTGTTTTGGTAGGAAAGGAAGATTGTTTATTATATAGGTAATATACTGGATTAAAGGTGAGAAAATATATTTATACACATGCTTGATAATGATTTGTTTTGTTTTATTGCAGATAAGTGGAGAAGAAGATAATGTTAAAGATAAGGAAAGTGGTCCAGTTGTTGAAGGGGAGGAAGTGAAACCAAAGAGACCATCTTCAACATCATCCGTATCAGATGAAGTTGAAGAAGATGAACCAGAAATGACAGAGGAAGAGAAACAAAGGGCTTTGGTATGTCTGTTGTTTGAAATGCATTTTTGTTTCAAAATGCTATCATAGCTTTCCTAGACTAAAAGCTCCATGTTATTTACCCTTTTAGTTGATGAAAATACGTCTCTGGCTTACTGAAATACTCCTCGATGTTACAAGCAGTGAAATCCATGATGTTGTGGAAGAGGTTTACCAGAAAGCCTCAAGTCGGTCTTCCAAAGGTATCAGTTTTATAATTCATAATATTACTACAGTAGTCAAATGATATTTTGATCGTCTAAATAAAAATATATATAATGACTTATTCACACATGCTAAAATGTTACAAGAGTCCGCTGCTACACATACATGTACATGAGATACATCCTCGTAAGGTTATGTGTCTCATGTGTTAGTATCTACTTATAAAAAAAAAAAATAGATATTGCAGAGGCTTTATGACTCACGGAATACTTAGCATGGATCTGCATTCACAGGGTCGTGCATATCTTCACTGTCTTCTAATCAATCGTACCTACCTTCAGCAAAGTTAAAATTCACTCAAGTCAAGTTGGCAGTGATTTGATAGAAATGTCTCAGAAAGTAACAATAAACACATTCCGCTATGCTGGTCATGTGACGTATATTGGGTACCAATCGTAAACAGGCAGCGCAAGTGATGCTCTGTAATAGAAAAACACTTCACTTCTTGAATAACAGTGGTTGGAATGCCAATAAACTATACCAATTCATTGGAAATTTAAATTTAGAATTTTGCCATAATGGTTTGCTAATGCTCCAAAAGATACTTGTCCCAAACATTGAGATATTTCGAGAAATGCTAGGCCTTGGCCTCTGCATATCTGTGGCCTGTTTAGGTATGCACAAGAGTCTTCTGTCGTGTGAATCGACTAAAATACTAAAGACTAAAATATTTTGATTAAGAAGACACAATGTGTCATATTAGCAAGCAATGGGAAAGCATCCGGTGCATCTTTTTTACTTGCTTGGGTATTCATCCTTCTGATGTCATCATAGATGTCTTGGAGTCGATATTCTAGAGTCCAAGAAAGAAAAAAAAAGATTGTTCAAAAATCTATTCCTAGCATCTTTCCAATTTTAATCCATGAGCATATGTAATAAGGTTTACTTGATGCAGCAAACATATTTTTTTTTTTTTTTTTTTGTTATGGCTGTATATTGTCCACTGCTTAAGTGTCCAACAAATAGGTATTGTACATTTAATCATATGTAATACTTTGGATGTCAATGAAACAATCTGGTTTATACACATTGATACTTTACCTAAAGCTCTGTCCACTGTCAAATTTTAGTTGACAAATAAATGTGATGCCCATATTTGTGTATAAAATTACATCATCATGCACATATATAATAGTGTAGTTTTATATAGAGCACAAATCCATCTAATGTAAGATGCTCAGGGCGCTTGAAATGTGAACTTGAAACTCGATCAATGACTTTCTTTGCCCCTAAGGGTCCGTTCGTGTCTGTGCTACCCGGTAACCCGGTACCAGCAACTCTCGTCGTCCACCACAGGGGCTGTCTGTTCCAGTACACCGGGGTAACCCCCTACTCGTCTCGAA